AAAACACTTTGTTTCTATAATTGTTTGGATTTTCTGAAAGAAACAAGCTCAGTTTTGACAACATATTTGTGATTACCTAAATTATGATTTGAAAGATTTCAAATTTGTCACAGGCCTGTTTTCTCTTATCCTTTCCCAATTGGCTAACCATAATTTGTTTGATATTTTAATTAAATTATGTGCTAAAATAGTTTGCTTCAAACTACCATTGTGATTTGTTTAGGGATGACTAGGATGTGAACTGTTTAGTATATACATGCTGTCCAGAATCACACAGCATTGTCTTATTTTTGCTTCTACTATGCCTTAATACTTTAATAAATTTCTCCATTATATGGCAGTTGGATTCCTAAGCATTATAAGAGTTCATAAGGTATTATCTTAAAATACTGCATGATCCCTTCATATATTTCATTTAATACCTAGTTATTCCTGGAGATATGCTTTCGAATCAGTCTCTACTCCTGCCTAGATAAGTATCTGCAGTTTTCTTGGCACGATTTCAAAAGTGGCTTGCCATTGTCTTCTTCCTACGGCTGAGAGAGAGTGAGTGGCCCAAGGTCACCCAGCTGGCTTTGTGCCTAAGGCGGGACTGGCTCACAGGCTCCCAGTTTCTAGCCTGATGCCTTAACCACTACACCAAACTGGCTCTTAAGGCATATATACACAAATACATTCTTAAACATGTGTGCAAACGCCCAATGATTGTCTGTAAATTCTGCAGGAAGGAGAGAGGTAATGTCTGCTCTTTATGGACAGCAATAATTTTAACTTCCTTTTCTAGCATCTATTAATCGCCCCCCCCCGCCATAACCCACATACATTCTTGTTCCCATTCATTTTTTTTTCTTAGTTGTCAGATTCCTTCTGTTATAACCAATGAGTCATATTATGCCAACAAGTGCCATGCTAGGTCCAACACTGATGTTACTTGGACATCAAAACCTGTACAAATGAATGTTGATAATAGCAGTATGGGCAGACACATACTGTCTTAAGTAACTGTTATCATGACACTTCCATCTTAGTCATGTAGCATAATACTCAAACTGCTCTAAAGGATGTTACGTGAAGTTGGAATCAGTGTTGTTAAATGTACACATGCATAGTTTCTCTCTTTATCTAATATTAAGACTCCAGCTTCAATATGACAGACTTGATTTGGGGTCTGGAAGGATTCAGCCACAGAGAAGGAATGCACCATTATTTCAGAGCCTATGAAAGTTTCTTAGTACATTATTTCAAGATTCTACTAATTCAGTCAGGCTATATGCAGGTAGTCCTCATTTAGTGACCACAGTTGGAACCAGCAACTCACTAAGCAGTGAGTTAAGCTGTGGTCACTAAGTGAAACCGTGACAGTGCTTGTGATCTTACTTCAGCTTTCCTTTGCTTTACAGACCTGCAAAGGTCGTAAATGAGGGATTGGTCCCAAAGTTACTGTTTCATACTGTTGTCATAACTGTGAATGGTTGCTAAACAAGGCAGTTGCTATACGAGGACTACCTGTACTAAATACTAAATCCTCCATGGATATTGTAAATTCTTAAAAAGCTTAGCCAAACATTGCAGATGTAGATGCTTTAACTAGACAAATATTAAATATGGATGTGGTTTGCTTACGGAATAGCTATGCAGCTTGTTTAATATTTCTGTAAAAATTGCATCTGTGCCTGATGATAAGAAGAACATTGTTATTATTTTCCTATACAAAGAGAAATATAGGAAGAGCAAGTCCAATAACTATAAGGGGATTAGTGTTAACTTGAGTCTGGAGTAGTGTTTAACCAAATTCTAATTAAAAGAGTACAACAGGTAACAGTGAGGTAGTTTGGTTATATAGAGAATTAATAGGGATCACATCTCAAAACCAATACATGAAGGAAGAATGAGTAAGTAAAAAACCAAGGGGAGGACCAAGAAGGTTATGATTGGATAGAGTAGATGCAATCCTCAAAGACAAAGGTGAGAATTTTAAAGAACACAAAGCAACTTATGAAGCAGTGTATGGATATAGAGGAAGAAAAGGGTTTCAAGGGTAGAAAGTTATGGAAAGGTACCGTAAATAGTGTTGGTATAAACAAGGTTTACTATGTTGCCTTTTCTTTAGCTTACTATTTCTTCTTCTTGTGCTCTGCATAACATTCCTTATCCTGAAAGGGAGTGTGGACAGTATGCACATACGGTACGCACATGTCTCTTGAGGGGTACACATTAACTAGCACCTCTCTTGGGAGGCAGATCACCCTGAGGCAACACTGCAGCTGACAAGGTTAGGGGTATTGTTACTGTGGAAACACTGCCAAATATGTGATAGCCGAAGGCCTTTAAAAGTCAGACCTTAATGCTGTTTACCTTAGGCCGTTTCAGACACCTCTCTTCTCAGAAAAAATCAATATTATGGACTTACTGTTGTACTCATAAATGAAACACAGCTGTGGTCCAATAGGTAATAATTCACCCTTAAAAGCCAGTGTTTTAGAGGTTTTTTCCTTCAGTTTAGTTGAGAGCTAATAATCTTTTCCTGCAGTAGGGGTAAGCAGGAAGGAAGTACAAAATAATATAATTTACTTATATTGTTGCAGTATAGCTGTCTTTCTTAAGTTCTCCAAATGTTTAAAGAGAGTCCTAAAGTTAGTTAGAACTATATAATTACTTTTCCATCTTACTAGTCAGTTTCATTGGTACATATTGCTACATAAGATCATTGCAATGATCATGGCAATTTTAAGTGCAGGAATGCACCTGTGATTGTATCATTAGACCCTTGGACAAATATTTTAGAGGTAATTAAAAGGAAATGGCTGGAATGTGATTTGGAGTTTCCTGTAGTTTGTACTGATTTTCTTGTTACTTACATGTTGGGTGAGGACTGGGATTCCTGCTTCTGGATTGTTATATTTTCATGAATAGATTTAATATGAAAGATTACAACAATACCTGACTTTAGTCTTGGGGGGAAAAAAACTCTTGATTGGTAACACAAACTGAAACAAGCAATAATAGATTTTCTGGATTCTTGCTGTCATAAAGTCTGTGAAATTTGAGTGGAGATGTTAGAGTGCATAGAAGCTACCAAATGTTTGCCTGCCTCTTGTGTTATACCTGAAGCTTTCTTTTCTCACTCCATATCATTGTTGTTGCAACATCTGTCTTGTTCCTTATCTCTTCTGTTGTATTTAGGATATTATTGCTATGGTGTATTTTCCTTTTCATTGGAAAATGCTAGCAACAGGAATTTGTACGTGTACCTAAAGAACCACTCAGTAACAATTTAGGCAATTGTTTCTTAAGATATTGCCACCCTATTAGGTGCCCATGTTTCAGTTCTGTCAGTTTTGTGGAAAGAGTATGAGCAGTGATTCTGGGAGGTGAGTAGACAATAAAGGGAGAGAAACATTCTTTAGCCCACCATTCCCCAACTTGGCACCTTCCAAATATGAATAGTACCAGATTGGGAAATGCTGATTCAGCTCAACCAGATAAATCTAATTTATGATGCCAGATTGGGAAATAGTAGATTACATTTTCACATAATCTATCCCAGAAAATTTCCTATACTCTTTATCGTGCTCAGTATGACAGTCTGAGCATACCTCTCTGTGACATTGGTCAGTTACATAGATTAGCAAAAGAGGCAGTCCATCCTAGAACCAAACAGTACACTCTTTTCTCTATTGATACAGAGGAGAAATAATCTTGTTAGAAAATATTTTAGTATCACTTTTTCTAAATAGTTCCTGATGAATGGAAGAGTTAAAGTTCTCTTCTCCATTCTTGGTAGAACTTTTCTAGTATGACTATTTTATGTTTAAAGCCAATGAAAATTTACCATGGATCCTTTAAACAAAGTTTGCTATGTGGTTTCTCATGTTAGTGAAAATAGTTTAAAATAGTTTGGTTGCACAAAACTGAAAGAACCTTCTGTGTTTAAGGCTAACATCCAGGAAAAAAAAATCTATTCCAGGTTTTAAAGTAGAAAGAAAAACGGGAATGGATTTGCTTTCATGTCTCTTAATTTTTGGTAAAAATTATTTTTCTTCTCTACCTTCCTTTTAGCTATTTTAGTATTCATTGTATTGCTTGTTATTCTCATAACGATGTTCCTAATTAAGGCAAAAACTTTATAGCCTGCTGAATTAGTAAAAAAGAGATGATCAGATGCACTGAAATGCATGAGATTCTATCTGATTTTATTTTTTTATATTCTTTTATTTTTCAGACGTCACTATGCTAAAAGCAGTAGTGCATGTATTGCATGCGTAATGTAAGGTGGGAAAAGATTAGGATAAATCTATCATCTCTGACAAAAGGCTGTTTTTAGTAGTGCACATATAGTTTTAATATTCAAAGGGGAATATTTGTTAGGCTAAATTGCAGCAGGTAAGCATGCTATATGCTTCCTTTTTTCTTGCCTCTTACTTCATGCTATATTGTATATAAAATATGCTGTATGTATTTAAGATAATCCTGGAAAAAATCGTTTGTTTCAAGGAGGACTGGGATTTAAACATATTTATTGGAGCTAAGACTAATTCTGTGTGAAACTATATTTTCTAAGAAAGGATAGCTCACAATACACAAAATTGTTAGCAGTGTCAGTACCTTAGACAGCTTATTTATTGCTTATGCATTTAATTGAAACCTTGTGATTTTATTTTAGGGGTTCTGTTTGCTCAATAGAACCTCCCTTAGGTATGGTCTCTTTTACACCATCTGCACTTACCCCAAATCTGTTTTGAGGATCGCAAGCAATGCATAATGGGAAGGAAGAAACTGTTTTGCTGATGAATACCACTCCATCAGCAAAATTATATCAGTACGTACAACCCACTAAGAAATTACTAATTAATGAGAGGTAGAAATAGATTTTACACTAGAAATCTATTTCCTGATTCATTCCATATTTATTTATGTATTTTGAATTATGCAAATAAATAATTTAGCATTAGAATAATCAGTATCAACTCACAATGCATATTGCTTATTTATATGTTTAGTACATTTGATTCCTGTTAACCCAATTAAAGACGATGGTCTGCATTCCAAGAATCGAAAGAGAATAATGCCTAATCCACTAACAGAGCCACCTGCTATTGATCCTATTTATGAAGCCCAGTTTTATTGTAATGTTCCCAGCATCCCTGAACGCAGTATGGAAGGTAACTATGTGATTGTGTTGTTGTCTGCTCTTTTATTTTTATTTGATTAATTATGTTGTAATTACGAAACATTCCTGATAGAATGTTCTCAAATTCCAAATAGAAAGCAGCAATTAAAGTAAATGCAACCCTCAGACTTACCTACTAGCTTAAACTTAACTGAAACAGCTGCTCAGATATACCTTCCTCCTCCCCCATAGGATTGATCTACTTAAGTCTTGCAATTGAAATCCTCAGAAGACCCAGGTAGGATGAATGCTTTTTATAGGAAAGCATGCAGCTTCTGAATCTACAAGAATTAGAATATGGATTCAAAAATAATACTGTTATTTTTATGTAGTACAGAAATAGTCTCAGCCAGACCTGTACCTCATACTAAAATAGTTTAATATTGTATGCTATCATGGGAAATAAGTTCTTCAGTTACCCCAGGCTTCTTCCATTGTAATTCCCTAAGTTCAAATCAGGGTTCTTTCCCACAGCTCAGTTAAAATGTCTGTGATCCAGCAGAAAAGTAAAACTGGCGTACATTTAGCTGTCCCCACCATCAGTCCTAATTGCCTCTGTTCTGGCTTACAGGAAGAGGACCTTCTCAGCACCACCAGGCAACCAATTGATAGCTCTACCCATTGGTTTGTCAGAATTCACCTCTCCCTCTTTCACCCACCCCCCCCCCCCTTCCTGGGCATCAGCTGCCTGGGCTGGTAGAAGGTGGCAGGGGAAGGGGGCTTTTTATCCAGAGCAGTGATCTGCATCAGCCCAAATTATTGACACTCTGAAGAAAAGCTGACAGGGACAGTATGGGGAAGTGGGGGTTGCATGAAGTGTGTGTGTCTCCCCCACCCCCGCCTTTTCAGTATTAGCTGCTTTTTACACCATAATCAAAGATGAATGAAGCTGACAGGCATCCTGGGGTCATTGTGCTGTGAAACCACAGATAAAAAGTTCTCTCTCTCCTACTTCACTGTACACCCTCCCACCACAAATACTTGTCAGCTGCTATTTGGGATCAGCTTGGAGGCCTGGCCGTTTTAGGGGAGAACCTGGTTTGAAATAACTTTCTTGCACTCAGGGTTGAATGGCCCTGGTCACGCTAATGAAAACTCTCTCAAGAATAGGTTAGGAAAAAGATGAAGGCAACATTATGGGGACTTGGCAGGAAAAGAAGGATGGCAGGTCATGTTCATGCAGTGGTTAAAAGCAATAGGGAAAGGTCCCAAATCTCACTGACTGAATTTAGAGGGGATTATTTCCAGTAAGTGGGTATAAGACTGCAACCTTTGGCAGGAGCAGTCATCTCTAAGTCATCCTGCTAAACCCACTCAGAAGAGTTTAGTGGGAGACTTTGTCAAAAACTTTGACTTTGTCAAAGACTTTAATTCTTGATCTAATTAAAATACCTACTGGATCACTTCATCTCTCTTGTGGGCAATCTGTCTCTCCCTCCAAGAGTTTTGTAATTCACCTTTAGTCAGGTTAGTGGAAAACCATATGAACTGTTTACAGTTCTTCAGTGCCAGTGTTGTATGTTTAACTAAATGTGTAAATGTATTATAAATTGTTTGAGTTGAATTGGAATTCTAAAAGGGATAGCCATTATGAGTCTATTCTCTCTTTTTTCCTATAGGTCATGCACCTCACTATTTTAAATTGATATCTGTTCATGTACTAATTCGCCATGGAGACCGATATCCTTTATATGCCATTCCCAGAACAAAACGTCCAGACATTGACTGTACATTATTGCCTAACAGGTAAAGCTTCTATATTGTACCATTGCTTTCTATACTTTATTTCTGCAGAAATAATGTTAGTGCCTGATCAAAGTCAATTTTTCTGTAAATTGCCATCAGTTTAAGCACAGACCTACAAACTTTCTCTAGAAGGATTCCTTCATTCTTTGTTTGTATAGTGCTCTGCATATACACTGACACATATTGATAAACTTATATTCCTTTCTGTTTCCATTCCATCTTCCATCCTTTCTTCCACTTCTTCCAAAATTGGTAGAATTTTCATCAAATTTGAGTCACACCTATAGAAAAGATTTTAATTCTTTACTAAAAGCACTGGGAATCTGAGCTGATTTGAAGAATATTGCTGCCTTTCTGGCCTTCCTCCAATCACTCCTAAAAGCATATGTTGATGAGTGGGTGGATTTGTTACTACTTAACCATTTTATACCCAGCTCTTTTGCTGAAAAGTTTCCTGGTGTAGCTTATAGATAAATAGAGACAATCCTACCTTTAGGTTTACAATTTAAAGATACAATACTAAAGGAAAAAGAAGAGAAAAAGAAAACAGTATCAATTCTGAACATTTTAAGCATCTTAGATTTTCACACGTGGTGAAAAGGCTGTTGCATTATCACATTGAACGTAGAAAAGTTTGATGGATGAATTGTTGCCAGAATAATGACACATTAAACAGTAAATACACCAAATTGTTTTAAGATGACAGAAGCCCATTATTTTTCTATTCATTTGTTCATTCATTTATTAATTCTATTAGGCTGTATTATTTCAAGATAGTATATTATGCCAATTCTGTAGTAAATGTTAGTTTCAGTGGATGTCTTAATTTGAAGTGAAAAAGAGACTGGCTATTTCAGCAGAATAACAATCCAAAATAAACTTCCAAATCAACTATACAGTAGTTGATTTACTTACCAGAAAGAATGATAAAGGTTTGGGAATGGCCTTCATAGTTCCTAATCTTGAATATGAATTTATGGAGAGATCTCAATCATGCAGTGCATGCAAGGATATCTAAGATTATTTCCAAACTAGAAGTGTTCTGCAAGGAAGAGTGGGAAAAAAATTCCAAAAGCAAGAATAGAAAAATGCTTATCTGACTACACAATAAGTTTAGAAGCTGTTATTTATGCCAAAGAGGTATTACCAAGTACTGACTCAAAGAAGGTCCATTTACACCTGACATATTTACTGTTTTTTTACTTTGAATCTGTAAACAATTGCACATAAATAGAATGCATTAAAATTTCAAGAATGTTGTTTTTAACACTGTACCATGTAAATGTTGTGTCACTTTCTGTTACCTAGGGATTCATTGAAACATATAGTTTGACAAGAGGTATTTCAACTTTTTCATACAATTGTAAAGTAAAATCATTTAAGAGAGAACCAGAACCCCAGGAGCTTTTTGTGGTAAACACATTTTCACAAATAGAATGTTACTGTGCTGAAGTAAACCATGCATAATAAATATTTCTAGAATAGCCCTACTGGTGAATAGAACCAAATTGCATTGGCTGTAATAAGCAATTACATTTTATAATAAGATAAGTGATGAAAAGTTGTTAATTGCAGTGATTGGATTTTTAATGAACTTACTCTAGGGAATGAAATATTAATTGAAGACTGCTATTTGGACATTTTATGGGACATGACAGCCAAAGTTCTTTAAGTGTCTGGTACAATAGTAGTGGAAAAAAGTCCAAAGTTGTCAAAGGCATTCTATGATAATATTAATTAAATAACTATTTTAATTCTTCTATAAAGCTGAAAAGAAACAAAGCCAAAGCCAGCAAATCACATTGTAGAGACTTCCAGCATAAATGTGATTTATATAAAGTTCTTTTGTTCTTTAGTTTTATATAAAATTAGTTTTAAATATCTACGAAACAATATTGAGTTTATATCTCCTAATTTAGCTGATATCCCCATGCAGTTGGGATCCCACAATGAAATTGTGTAAGATTAGATGGGTGCTGTCCATATGTTTTGTGAAATGTTTAGCCTTTCTAAAGCTATTGTATGTGAAGTAAGTTTGAATATTCATGAAGCTTCCTTGCATGCAAATGATATACACTGTTTTCTGTACTCCTTAAAGAACACATTTTTTTTTCACACATACATACTTACATACCTATCATGCTATTCCTTTTCAGGGTAAGCCATGTTTTGCAAAGCACACACACACACACACAAAGTAGAAACAGTAAACCAAAGAAATTAAAGGCATGAGATAGAAACAGAAGTGGAAATACAGTCAAATCTAGTTTGACAGCATTCACCATCCCACCATACCCTTCTTTCCTTGCATGATATCCTTTCATCCACCATATCCATACACACATTGCCTCTCTTTTTGAGGATCTCCTGTACTCCATCCAGTGACAACTTTCTGAGATTTCTCTTAACCCATTCACTCTTTACTTTTTTTTATTTGATCTTCTTCATTCATTCTTTCATGTGATCGAACAACCTATATGTTTTTTTTGTTTTGTATTGGTCACATTTGCAATCAGTCCACATTCATTCAGCACCATTTGTTCTTGATCCTATCTCTTGTTTTATCATACACATTTCTGAAGTACCATAGTACTCAATTTTTCCTGAGTTACTAGTTTGTCATTTCCATTTAACAAAATAGGTAGAAACAGCCATTTTCACTTGATAAAGCTTTAATTCCTTTCACAGGCTATATGCTACTTTATGCTTGTACATAATATTTTCAATTTCCTCAACTTTAGTAAGTATACACATTCATCTACCTGCTCTCATTTTTTGCCATTTATTTGTAACTTGTTTACTCTATTTTCTCTGTCAACACATCTTGGTCTTTGATATATTGATTTTCAGAACCATACTTCTCATTGTGTCATATTATCTGCAAATGTTAGAGAACCAACCTACAATATGGCATCTTCTGCATACCAAAGTACATAAACATTCACCTCCCCAATTGACAAACCTCCAATTTCACTATATACTCTTTATATATTTATATATCTACATTATATATGCGTTAACCACCAGAGGAACATTGCACATGATTATCTTACTCCGTGCTCAGTGTTAAGCTATTCTCTAAGCATTCCATTTATTCTTATGCTGGCTTTGTTTCCATCATGTACCATCCTTATTCAGCAATCAATCTTCAGCTCTTTAATTAATTTCTGTGGCATGACTATAACCTGGAAGAGAAGATTTTAGAGATGGTGGGAAAGGAATAAATTGAATAAGAGGAATAAGGAAACTGGAAGAAGGCAGCAACCTCCTTTATCGTTGCCGTTGTTGAGAGAGGTAGGGGTGGTGTCAAAAAAAGAGATATGATTGCCTATATGATGCCTCTGGGAGATGGTATCAATCAGGTCAAGATGAAAGTATGATCAATATGCTCCTTTTTGGGAGAGTATTTTGTTCTCCTGCTACTACTAAACCTCTTTGAGGTAATATAACTGAATGTAGGGAAGATATAGGATAGCACAGACACTTAGTTATCTTAAAAATTGTTTTTAAAACAGGTTCACTTATTTCAACAAATCATCTCTTTCCTGTAAATACTACCCTTCCCCATTCCTAAAATTATTCCTAACTCATTCTTCCCAACAAGGGTATTTTTTTCAAGTTTGGATTGTGAACCTCCTTCAGACCTGTCCTTCCATCTGCATCTCCCAAATCCTACTCTCCTAGTTGTCTCTTCTTCCTAAAATATAACCTTGGAGGAGGTGCCCAATGTTGCCATTCATTGATGGGCAGTTACAGCACCCAATCATCACATACATTTCTACTTGGAGTGGAATAGGAGATGGTCCTTGGCTGGTGTCTGGATGAGGATTCAGCCTCATCCAGACACTTCAGGATGTTGAGGCTGAATCCTGACAAGATGAAATGTTATGGTATAGTGATTAAGGTATTGGACTGGCAGCAGGGAAAGGCAGTTTCTGTTACATTCTCAGCCATAGTTCATAGGATTACTTCAGACAGTTATTCTCCCAACCTAACCTATCTCACAAGGTGGTTGTTATAGGGAAAATACTATGAGAGGAGGAAGCATTATCTATATCATCTTGAGCTCCTGAATGAAAGGCAGGATAGAACTCAAATAAATAAATATATATTCCATTCCCTAATGACAATCCTCATTCAGATATATTTTATCCTTCCCCTTTCTCTTAGTTCCATAGATACACAGTGCATCTATTTTTTTATTTGTTTCATTTAATGTGTTAATTCATGTTCTTTACCATTTGTCCTCTCACATTCAAGTCACTATCTCCATCTCTATGGCTATTCATGGCTTTCACATAATGATTTTTTAGGAAGTGTAGTAGAAAATACAACCAAGAAATGGCAAAATATGGAGAAGATCCAACAATTGTATTATTATTTCAGTGTTAGCTTATTACAGTGAGTCACTGGTCTCTTTCACCAAAATAAGCCACAAGCAAGATTCTCAAAGTTACATATATCTCATATAGAATGTTGACCAAAGACAGTTCAAGCATGGATACATCTGTAGAGTTCCCAAACTAGAACAGAGTTCACAACTGGTAAGGATGCTAAATACCGCAGATAACAGTTAACAGCGATGAAGTGAACAGCGATGAAGTGAACTGAAGTAATATATAGTTTTGTTCTCTTCCACTCAAAAATAAGTGAAGATGCATAGTGTGCTGGAGAAGTAAAAAGGAGTTTAATTCTAGGGAGGAAAGTAATAATGAACTTAGACAAGATCATGTTGTCTATTTCTATGACAACACAGCTCAGAATAGTTAAAGCACTGTTTTTGTCAGTAATGTATGTCTTTAAACACTTGAACAGTGAATGAGAGAGAGAGAGAGAGAGAGAGAGAGAGAGAGAAGATAGATGCCTTTGAATTATGACCTTGTAAAGATTTACTAAGAATACAGTGGACTTCAAGAGGTACCAATCAATCCACACTGGATAAAATAAAGACTGACTAGTCCATTGAAGCAATAATCAGAAAGCAGAAACTCACATACTGTGGGCATGTGATGCAAGGAATGATGGCAAAAGCAAAGTTTTATGTTTGGCAAAATTGTAAGAAATAGAAAGAGGGGTAGGCAGTGGATAAGAGGATCAAGGTGATAAATGGAATGACTTCAGAACATCTATGGTTGCTGCTGGAGACAGATCAGGATGGAGGGTATTTGTCTACATAGTTGCCAGGAGTCCAATTCAATTCAGTGGCATTTAAGTAGGTACCCCTGGTTACATCTCAAGATGTATAGTTATAAAAAGAAGGGTCAAGTTGCATATTTAATACCTTCCCCTTTATCCTTCCATCTTATGGAAATTAAAATTGAAGAATCTTTCTGGAGGCTTAATCACTCAAACAAAATACTTTTTTTCATTGTGCATAGTGCCATCAATCTCCACACCGTTGCCTGGATATTGTAAATTAGCCATTCAAAAGAAAGATTGCTAATAAGATTTTTAAAACATGGAAAAGTAACCAATGTACTTCCTTTCAGCTGCTTTGTATTTCTTTCTTACCTTCAACTCCTTTCTTTTTTTGTGAACAGTAACACTCATAATGAAACTTCTAGAATATATGAGTGCAGGATTTTTTCTTAAAGTACAAATACTTTCACATATGGCCTTTGAGGAACAGCTTTTCATAAATGTATGTATGCTAGCATTGATTTTATACTATTTACTGACAAATAATCAGGATGCTTTCTAACAAAAGCAATATTGACTTTTCACAAGGTTAATTGTAAATGCTAGTGTTCGGGGTATAATTGTGAAGCTGTACTTCTTAAAAGAGCTTCAGGTTTCTAAACAGTATATTTCGATGTAATATTTAATTAGAAATTGAAAATCCTCTTTAGTTTTTTACAAACTTTTTTACAAAGTTTGTTGAAAATTTTTAAATTAATGTTTTATAGAAATGTATTTTTGACACAGCATGTGCTAAATTGATGGTGCGAGTAAACAGTTATTTCATAAAGGAACTGAGAGTATTGAAGAATATCCTTACAGGAAACTGTGCCTTAAGCTCAAATGCATAACAAATTCAGAAATTTTGTGGACAAGCACAAAGGGTAATAGAAAAAGGGAGCTTTGGAGTCCTTGGTATTCTCTGAGCTTGGTTGTTTTCCTGCAGACGTTTTGTTACCTGATTAGGTAACATCTTCAGTGCAAGAATGGAGTGGGGTTTGCTCTCTGTTTATATACAGTAGCTCACCCTGTCAGTGTTGCTGGGGGTGTAAGCTGCCCAGAGATGTTTAACAGTCAGGTGGCCTATAATTGAAATGAATAAATAAACTGTTAAGGTTATTCCAGCCTCTAATAGTGAAAATCCCTGGCAACCCCAACACATTTTATAAGTATTAAATTTTAGTTGTCAGAAACCCAAGATGGCATATATGGTTGCAAAACAGTGCTCTTTAGCATCTAGGATCCATTGTAGTAAGATTAATGTATATGTTTATTGGAGTATTATCAAACACAATTGCTTTTATGGTTATATTTTATGGATGTTCAATATGCATGAGTTCTTGGCTAAGATGGTAATAAAGCAAAGCTGAAACTACTTTTCAGTTAAGTAAATTATTTGTTTTAAATTCTCTGTACTGTAGTTATGTGGTAATAGTATTTAAAGTGAAATAAAAGCAGTATGGCACCACCTTGTGGTTTAAGTAATTTTAGAAAGTTTAGACAAAATAGCAAACACTGGACTGACTTATTTTAATTCTGGTAATTTCAAAATTTTAAAATAACATCACCTGGAAATTAAACTCATTTTAAAACCATTAGATTAACTTTTGGAATTCATTTGTGTAAGATACAGCACTAGAACTATATTGCCTTTTTTGCATTTTATTTTAAATGCTTAATCCCCTACAAATAAGTAGATAAAAAAATAAGTACACTAAAGTCTTTATAGTGAGTACCCTCATATAGATCATACTTCATTACAATAAAATGTCCAAACTTGAAAAAAAAGTTAGTAAAAAGTTATGTATAATATCAATAAAGTTATGTCTATATTAGATTTATAGGGATAATGAAACTGACTGTGTTTGTATAATACAGATACATACTGTAGATAGAGATATATAAAAACTTCCAAGAAAAGTGCATAGAAATTTATTATATTTTCTTGTCATAAAGATCAAGATCCATCTGGATATCAGCAATCCACTGTATATCTAAAACTACATATAAATAAAGTATATGTAGTTTTTTTTTTATTGTAAGGAATAATTAACCTACTTAAGTTATAAAGTGCTATTCACAATGCCAACATAGTTGTTTAACATGCTGTCAGCCGACGAGGTTAAGAAACCAATGCCATATAGGTCAGTATTACTTTTATTGTAACAGATATAGTAACAGAATCTTGCAATCCTGAATGTTTTTTCCCCCTCCCTCCCTTTATCTTTGTGTGAACTAGGGAGGGACTTGTCTGAGATGTTTTCTCAAATCACTTTTTTGGTCCAAGCTCAGGTCCTTCTTATCTGAGTATTGCTTTGGTAGAAGCTTTTCCTCCTGTCTTTTAAGGCCATTCCCTCTGCCTTTTACAGAAGCAGTACAGGTAGTCCTCAACCTATAACCATTCGTTCAGCAACTATTTGAAGTTACGACAGCACTGAATGAATGGTGGTTACGACTGGTCCTTGGAGTTCCAGCTGTCCTAGCACCCCCATTGTCTTGTGATCATGATCTGGGCACTTGGCAAATGCCTCACAACTGGTTACGACCAGTTGCAGCACCCCACAATCACATGATTGTCATTAGCAACCTTCCCTGCCGGCTTCCCCAGAAAGTCAATGGGGAAACTGGCAGGGAAGGTTGCAAGTCACTGGGGTAAGTCTCCCCTACCCGCGCACCCTCCCTCAGCCCCTCTGCGCGCACACCTCCTTCACAGCCTCGCACCCTCATGCACCTTCCCCAAGCCTTGTGGCACCTCCTCCACACACTCCTCCACCCCCTTGTGTGCCCTCCCTGAGCCTCGCTGCATCTCCCCTGCACCCTCTTGCCTCCTTGTGCACCACCTTGCCTCCTCACACACCCTCCCCAACCCTTGCTGTGCTTCCCACAGACCCTGGTGCACCCCCATGCAGCCTCCCTGACCCTTGCTGTGCCTCCCTCACACCCTTGCACACCCCCTTGCACTCTCGTCCACCCTTGCTGCACCTCCCTCACACGCCTGCAAACCCTCCACAACCCTCACTGAACCTTCCTCGCACCCCCACACACCCACTTGCACCGTCCCTCCCCCCTTACCTGCCTGTTGGCCTGCTTGCACACTGCCTGGGGCTTACAACTTCCTGCTGGCTTTCCCACTGACTTGGTTGTGGGAAGCTGTCAGGAAGTTGCCTTACCTAACAAGCATGGGATTTGGTTAATAACAGCAACCGGGACTGCTGGGATTGCTGTTGCTAAGTGATGAGGTTGCAGTTTACGACCACATCGCCTAGCAACGGATATTCTGATCCCAGTTGCTGTCATAAGTCAAGGACTACCTGTAGTTAGAACTATGACCTCTATCAGTAACAAGAAAGCCACATATTACTGGGATGTTTTTGTTTCCAGTTTTTACTTCAGCTCTTTTTTGATTTGTCCAAAACCAGCCCTTACCCCACTTTAAGTGGTTTGCCTTGTTTGTTTGTTTGTTTGATATATATATATATATATAAGCAGTATTTTGAAAAAAGGCTAATAGAAGCATCTTTGTGTACAATGTATGCCTATTTAATCTGAAAACTGCATTGGAAAATATTAGACCAAATTCATTTAAAAGCATAACCCAAATGAAATTCTTCAACAATCCTACTGATAAGTCAACGTAATGGGTTTGAATGTATTTTAATGTCAGCATTAAGTAAGATTCAGACAACTAGCTAGTTCTATAACACAGGTACACAACCATTATTTGAAGAAACACCTTTACACTGAGGTCACATATTGCACTAAACCAAAACAAAATATATAGCTTAGTGTGATGGGTAGACCTAGCCTTTGTCATTTGTACATCATAATTTATGGCTAATTCTGTGGACAAACTAAGGTGTAGTGTGAAATGTAAATAATCCTGATAGTTTTGTGTGCTGTTTATGTGTATGAATTACAAAAGGCTGTGTAAAAGTGTTCATAGGGTTGACTTAAATTTTTAATTGCTGTGACTCTTTTTTACAGATCTGTCTTTCCTGCCCATCAGTTTTTCAGGCACAAGTGTCCATCTGCATGGCTGTATGTTTCATTTTCATAAAGAGTATTTTTCCTGAGCAGGAAGTATGTTTTTGTCGTGAAATTCTGTGAAGAGTCATAATTAGAGCACTTTAATCTTTTCAGCTTTTTCATACACTTATAGCTGTTTTGGTTAATCTCTTTTAGAAAGCCTTCCCATCCTCTGCTTGAAGCTTTTATTAGCCATATGTCTAAAGGATCAGAAGCCCAAATGGATGGCTCTTTGAGCAGTGTGCCTCGTTATCCAAGCCATTCACTGTGTGAAATGGGAGAGCTGACACAGACAGGTGACTACATACAGCTGTTTTATTTTCATTTCTTAAAAAAAAACAAAACAGTATGCTGGTGATGCCTTGGTTTTTTTCTTAACTTGAGCTTCTCAAAAGCCTTGATTAATATTTTAAATGCTTTTGCCAAGGGGGCACGTTGTCCCTTTCCACAGCATAATATAGTTTCTGTAAGAAATTATCTCTCTTTTTTTTTTAAGTTGCCTGAATAACCCTTGAAACTAGCATTTTTAAGCCATTTTATATTTAGCTTTTCCACTGAAAAAGTTCCTGGTGTAGTTACAGATAAATAAAAATCCTACCATTTAGTTTACAATCTAAAAATGCAATGCTAAAGGAAAAAGGGACCGAAGAGGAAAACAAAACAGTATCAATTCTGCATGTTTTAAGGATCTTAGACTTTCACAGCCTGGTGAAAAGGCTTTTGAATGAACTGATGGAAGAACTGTTACTGTATCTTGTTGGAACGCTGAAACATTAAAGAGTAAATATATCAGATTGTTTTGAGCTGACAGGAACATATTTTCCTCATTAATTCTCTTAAGTTATCTATTCAGGACAGTAAGTTATAGTATTCTGAATATCAATTGTCTTTCTGTAATAACTGTTAATTTCAGTGGATGTTTTAATTAGCTTGATATTTCAGCAAGACAATAATCAAAAGCATACTTCCAAATCAACTATGAAACACTTACAGGAAAGAAAGATAAAGGTTTGGGAATGACCATCACTACCTCCAGATATGAATAAATAATATTCTGCGGGAAGATATTAAACAACCAGTGCATATAGAAAGGCCTAAGACTGTGTCTGAGCTAGATATTTTCTGCCAGTGGGAAAATCAAGAATAGGAAGACTCTTTGAGCTGGCAAGAGAAACGTTTGGAACCAGTTATTTCCACTGAAGGAGCTATTACAAAGTGGTGACCACAAGGGTGTCCAAACTTTTGCAATTGGCATATTCACTGTTTTCTTACTTTGAATCTGCAAACCATTGTATATAAATAGTATGTATGCATTAACATTTGCAGAAAAATGTTGTGTTTAATTTTGTACCCTGTAAAGGTGTGTCAGTTTCTGTTCACCTTGGAATTTATTGACACATACACTTTGGCCAGGGGTCCCTTGATTTTGAATCAATTGTAGTCCTCTTAGCAAAGTTCTTTACAATTAAGAGCTGTCTTTATTGCACTACAGTTTACAAATAGTATTAGCTGTCTCCTTCCCTCCAGATGCACTTGCTATAAAAGTGAATAAAAACAGGAAGCACTAATATGACTCCCTTTGTAATATGCTGTTTTGGCCTGATTTATTTTCATAAAATTTTGGATTGGTTTTAGAACATGGGTTTCCATCAGTAATTTATAAAATTATTTATTTTTTATAAATTCATTTAAATATTATTACATTTATTAATATACTGTGGTTTCTGTGAGTCTGTTTCTTTCTCTGGATTGTATTTTATAAAGAGAATTGCTTTTAGAACTGAGCTGTAGTAGTGATCACCTCTGAAGAAATAAGACGGTTGGATTTGTTTTTTTTATCATAGTTTGTCAAATCAAATTACTCATTCAATAGCTTTTAAATATTATTTATGCCTAAGCTGTTGATTATACAGTTACACAACCAGTATGTCCATTTTGTTATTCTTTGGAATAATAAAGAGTGGGTTTGGGACTTCCTAATGAGAGTTGTGCAAACCTTCAAAAGACTGCTTATCTCTGATTATGTCTCATGCAAAGCATCCTATGCTGAAATGCTGAAAATACATTACTTGGATTCTACTAAAATCAAGTAAAATGTTAATTGGGCCCTTTGTTATAAGGAAATAAATGTAGAAAATTTAGAGGAAGATTAACAAAAGAGTCAGAGCTGATAGTAGGATAGTTTAAAAAGAGGGAAATGAAAAGGAGATAATGTTGCTGTATAAAATACAAGAAAAAAGAAACAGTGCTAGATGTTTTGATAATCATTCTATAATAAAGCATGTAGGATTTTTATTGATGTATCTGTAAACAGAAACATACCACAGTAGCCTATGCCTTAGGGTTCTGCTAGAACTTGATGGGCCTAAGGGGTGGTGGGGTTCATTCAAATGCAGCCCAGGGTGCCATAGCAGTTTTTCTGAGGTACAACACAAAAGGCAAAAATGATGGCCACAATCTATACCTAGGAGGCATTCTCCAGCAAATGTGGCATTCTCCCACAAAAAAAAACCAAAAAAAAAACCCCCACCATGACCATTTTGTGCATGTCTGCCCTTCTGCCAAGCAAAGTCAGTCAGTTTCAGGTAGACGGGATAGGTATTTCTCTCTGGGTGGCAATGCCTAATCAGCCTTTTTGTTATGGAAAACAACAGTGCCTGCAACCTTGAAACAGAACAGAGGCTTCATTTAGCATAAGTTTTGTTACATCGTCAATTTTCTATTTCTAGAGTTTTGCCTCTAGATCAGGAGTTTTGGGAGTTTTTCACAGTTTCCTCTGAAAATGTTTAAAAACACTAGTTTACATTATGTTTTTATACATCATTTAGAAGTTGTGATAGGTCATGCTCATCTGATGGAAAAACAACTTCTGTATAAGAATTCTTGCCGTTTTTTTAGGGGGGTGGGGTTGATAGGAGAATAATATTTATACTAAAAGAAAGTAAGAAGAAATTATGCCACTTCTGATTAAATACATTTGATATGCACCCCTTTAAAACCTCTTCATAAACCAGTGTTCCACACCACTTTTTAAAAGGGAAGCATCTGCATTGCTTTGCTTCATTTTACTATGAGGCCTCATCTGGCACCTCTAATAATTAAAAGAGGCTTCTAATATATGTGCAGAAACTTCCCCTTTTCCACTCAGCTAGCAGCAGCACCAGAAGAGGCTTCTGTGCATGTTCATTTGATGCCTCATTAAGACTTATTGTTAATATATACTATTAACCTTATTATGTTGCTCTCCATAAGAGCAAAAGGGCGCTCAAGCTAAATAAATGCAAATTATTAAGTCTCCTCGATTCTACTGTGGAAGAAGGCTTATCTTTTTCCTTTCTTTTTAAAGGAATCGTACAACACCTACAAAACGGACAACTGCTACGTGATATCTATATAAAGAAGCATAGCTTGCTACCCACTGACTGGACAAGTAAACATTTGTATTTGGAGACGACTGGGAAAAGTCGAACTCTACAAAGTGGACTAGCATTACTCTACTCTTTTCTACCAGAATTTGATTGGAAGAAAATTAACGTTAGGAACCAATGGAGCACAATTTTTTGTTCTGGACACTGTGAATGCCAGAGAAGAAACCATTACTTGGAGGAAGAGCAACGTCGTCAGTATAGTCTGCGAGTGAAAAACATAGATTTGGAAAAGACATACGCAGATATGGCCAGAATAGTTGGCATTCCCACACGACAGTTAAGAGCTTCTAATCCCATTGATTCTATGTTGTGCCACTTCTGCCATAATGCCAGCTTTCCCTGTACTAAGAATGGTTGCATTGCCATTGAGCACTTCAAAGTAATCAAGAAACATCAACTTGAAGATGAAAAGGAGAGGCAGAAAAAGAAATATTATTATTTGTATGCACTACTGGCCACTCATCCAATCCTTAACCAAACAGTCAATCGGATGCTAAGGATTGCAGAAGGCAAGAAAGAAGAATTATTTGTTCTTTACTCTGCTCATGATGTTACCTTGTCACCTGTTCTTAGTGCCTTAGGCATCACTGGGGCCAAGTTTCCAAGATTTGCTGCTAGACTAGTCTTTGAGCTGTGGAGAGATGAAAAGAAATATAAAAAAAACTTTATTCGTATTCTTTACAATGGGGTTGATGTTACATTCCAAACTTCCTTCTGCCGGGATTTTGACAAGTATTTTGGCAAGATGATGTGTCCTTTAGAGAAATTTGTCAATTTTGTTAAACAGGACATGTTTTCACCTTTTAATACCACTAGTTACTACGAAGCATGTCGCAGAAGACCATTCTAAACAAAGGAGGAATAAAGTATTTCATTTTGCATTGTCAAAAGGTCTGTCTCTGAGGAAGCTTGATATTGTCAAAGTCTTGTGTGCCTAAGTGCAAATGAATATAGCTTGAAATTATTTTATTTTTGCCAACATTCATTCTAGATTAATTTAAAATGTCATATCCCATTATTAGTCCCAGCATTACAAAATCTATTTTCTTTATGCTCAACATAATTTGTCTCATAATTGATGTAAAACAGACATTGCTTGAGTAACTGATTGCATATATTCTGATTACTTAGCATTCTACTGCAAAGGTTGAAACATGAAAACAAATACTAACAATCTCAGTAATTGTACCAGAAAGTATTTCTTCATTTCACAAATCCATTCTTATAATCAGTTATTCTTAAAGAATTAAAAAAAAAAGCAGCCATTAGAAGAGAGAAAAAGAGATGCTTGATTCAAATGCTTTTTGCACACAAGGTTCTGGGTACACTTGATCTTAAGCTATTTGCTTCATTTATATTATAGATTGAGTGAAGATTGTTCCTTTAAGATGGGACAGTAATATTTCATAGCACTTGGAACATGTAGAAAATCTCAATGCCTGTAATCAGTGACTTTTTGAGGAGCACCAGCATTTTAAAAAGTACCTTGTACATGACCAGTATGGATCAACCTACAGAAGCTATGTAAGATTCCATTCACAATACATTACAGCCGCCTTGTTCAATTCCCAGCATGTGAAAGCAATTTTTGTTAGAAATCATCATGCCATATACAAAGCAGCCCATAGATTATATGGAAAGAAAAAAAAATCTGTTTTTGCACTTTTAGCACTTTATGTGTACTTTGAACACTAATTACAAGTTGTGCCAGATGCTAGAAAAGGATTCAAAAGTAAATATAGAGATAGATATGAAGAAAAGTCTTTACATCTTTTAATCCACTTCTTTAGAATCTATTTATCTGTTGAAATAATATGTGCTGTGAAAAAAGCGGTGTGTTTACTGTTTGGCTGCATATGACCAAAAGACAATTTAACATAATGCTTAATTTTGTAGTCCCTTTAGTACTTTTATAGACTAGGGAATGCATTTTATAAACTAAACCTTGTTTTTTACATTATAGTGACCTGTTTTCTACTTTCTTTGTAAAGGGATGCCAAAAGTTGTGTTTCAGACAATAATCTTTTAGCCTTGGTACTTAGATTCATGGGGAAAAAAATCTTATGAATAATCTTACTTGATAAATTGTTAATGCAAAAATGAACAACTCCATTTTAAAATGTTTTCATCATACAATATTTTTTAAAAACCTGGAAATGTTACATTTTGTAATGTTAATAACTTGTACATACCCAGAAACCATAATTTAGTGTATGATTTAAGATAAAATGGTGCTAGCAGTTAAAACAAGCTGTGATTTCTAATCAAGCTTTACTGACATTTCAGCATCATTTTGACAATGATACATTTAGATGTTTCTATAAATAAAAGTTTGAAGAATTTTTAGTGGTAGTGGTTCTTCAATGCCAATCTATCTTCATGTAGTGCTGGGTTTATTTTTGTTTTTTGGTTTAAGTAGAAATGCTGGTTCTTTTGCAGGAATATTACATATTCATTCTGTGCCAGTAGATGTTAAACCTAATCCATTTGTACTGAAGTTAAATTCATTTTATGAAAAATGTAACTGCAAAAAAGCTCCAAATGTGATTATTATCAGATTTGTAGAAATTACATAACTAACAGCCTTCAGAAAACAATCCATCAAACCATATTTCCTTTATTATAACCCTAAACCTACCTAGAGAGCTAGTTTGGCATAGTGGTTAAAGGTTTTGGATTAGAAGCTGGGAGACTGAGTTGTAGTCCTCTCTTAGGCATGAAGCCAGCTGTGTGACTTTGGGCTAGTCACATTCTTTCAGCCCTGGGAAGAAGGTAATGGCAAACCACTTCTTACGCTGTTGCCAAGAAAACTGCTGGGACTTGTCTAGGCAGTTGCTAGGAGTCAAGTGTGACTCAGAGGTATAAAAAGAAGGAAGAAACCACTTGACATTTCATAGAGGTTATATCTGGTGTCATTCTTGCCATATAAAGTTTTTCCAAGCAAATTACCTAAAATTGAAAATTCCTTCTCTTCAGGCCCTATTTCAGGCCCTATTTCAAACATGCCTGCAAATTTCCTCCTTTAAATCCTCAGAAATTGAAAACTATTTTTATAAAAACTGCTTCAAATTAAACAATTCTGACAAAAAGTTGAAGCTGTTTATAATTCATCTAAATGAATGATAGATAGAAAAGCCCCAGGCTTTTTCCAAAATAAAGTAGTAAGGAATGTACATGCCCTATTAGAAAGTATTCTCTGCAGCTCCTCCCAAAAGATTCCAAGAATTGGGATGTCCAGGTGGAGGATCTGTACTTACTTTACGAACTTGTTATTCTATCTCAAACCTTTACGCAGGGCTTCTGGAGCAATAAGATTCTTGGGAAGATACCTGCTGAAGTTATTTGTAAAATGTCCCCCAAAGTGATCCAGCAGGTGTATTTTAATTTTATTTGGAAGTAGGTGCATTGACTCAAATTCAGACAGGTGTCATGAAGTGGTTTGAATCAAATGGCACACCTTTCAAAATGTAAACCAAACCAAATCTTGAATTTCTGCATATTGATATTGCATGAGCAGAAGCTACAAATAGCACAGAGTTATACACACATAGAATTGGAATTAATGCAGTTAGTGACTGTGGGGAACCATTGTCAAGAAAACATGAGCTGCTGAAGCAATTCTAAGGTTGTGAATAATTCTGTGTGAGCCATTAGTGCATTAAAAACATTTGGAAAATGAAATGTTGACAGAATTGGCTGTGGTATAGTCAGCCTGCCAAAGATATATCCATATATAGTCTGGATTCATACATTAAATTATATAATTTATCTGATTTCAATTTAGAGTGATATATAAATCAGAAGCTCTTGGCTTATTCAACAACACATGGTTAATTAAACCAAAACTTAATGTATTATGTGAACTCTTATACCATCCAGCTTTAGTGCAACAAGATCCTTTGGGTCAAATGATGTTTACTCTATGTCTACATCCACATTGTGATAAATTGCAGTGCCACAAAATTCAAACCAATATTCCAGCGCAAAAGCCTCACTGATAAGCCTGCTCTCTACCAAATAAGGGGAGGAGATTCTAAAGGGAGGACTTTACCCTCTAAGTAACTTTCTAACTACATCAGGGAAAAAGAGCCTATTCAGAATGAGGTAAGTCTAGCCCTAGTTAAGTATTATGAAAAGGGCAGAACTCCACACAGTTCCATTATGCCAGATGTGCTATAATGTCACTGAAAAGGCACTCATGTACATGACAATTATCTGCATGATGGAGGTTTTCCATGCAATCTTATATCCAGATAGCGTAGATCCTATGAAGTACAGATGATGGTGCTATTCACACAGATACCTGTCTCTTAACTGATAATAAAGCCTGGCTTCAGAAGAACCACTCACTACTGCTCCCCTAGTGAGTTTTTGTTTTATAATGCCTGAACACGATTTCCACTTGAATACCTACATATTTGCTACGTACCCTTACGAGCTTGTGCTCAAAGATCTGTCCTGGTTTGAGAAGATCACAAAGCAAGGAGATCAAAATAAGAAGGATAATGTGGGATAATTTCTAACAGTGTAGAAATGCTGTTTGTATCTTGCTACTTTCCTAGGCTCATTAGATCATCTCTTCAACTATGCCTTTCCCCACCCCCTCAAAAAATTACATTTCAAGCTATTATGTGTTCTGATCCAAAGTATGTGAACATACAGAAGACACAGTTCAGACCTAATTCAGTGATTTGTAAACCAACCTGATTCAAGTTGAACCAACTGAGAGACGGCCTGATTTAACGAAGCCCACAATCTAAATTGTGTTGAACCTAATTAATACTTGACTGAGAGACTACCAGGAATTCCCAGGATTGTATAGCCTATGCAGGGGAGCGGGCACTGCTTCCAGATTGTTGTGACAAGCCCAGCATGGATGCGTCCTTATAGTCATCAAGATTTGAGCTTGATTTGAGGAAGACTTTATCTTTTCCATATCCAAAATGAAATTCTGAAAAATAAACTTTTTTGTCTTGATTAACTTGGGAATCTGCAAGCAGCTGCAACTTAAAACAAAATTATTTAAATGATTTGGGTAGCAATTGCAAAAATGTATATTTCTGAACAGATGAAATTTCATAGTACTACAAAGGCTGTGGAATTAGGGCCTATTACTTTTTAAAATAAAGTGTTAACTGACTATATTGACTTTTGGGGAGAATCTGTTGAATCCAAACACCACTTTCAGACTGAAAAGGGCAGATGTTTTCTATTTGGGAATGTTCACAGATTTAGGGCAGTTTATTAATTCTTCCTCTCCATGTGTTTTAAAGCCTATCAACCTACAGGAAAAAAATGGTGGAATTAAGCAACTTCAGTTCTGACTGATACAGAGGAAGTTCTTTTCTGATTAGAAGACTAAATATCAAACCGGCCCCCCCATTTAATCTGCACTTCCTGATGTAATATACAATCTAAAATGCAATTTGCTTTTTATATTCACCGTTCCCAAAGTTCCCAATAAACTTTATATTGGTGAAAATAATTTCAAATACAGCATTTATAATATATTGTTTGCCTAAAATGTGTGATTTAGGAGAAATGCATATAAAAAAAAACATAACAGTATGTTTGTGAGTGTTGGTGTTAGATGTATGTAGGAGTTTTTATGTAGATTAAAAAAAAAAAGCTAATGCAAAAATAGAAGTTAGCAATAGAAAAATGAGAGACAAGCAAAGTCCTGACTAGTTTGACTATTTTGTGTTAAGAATATTTCAGTTACACTTAACACTTCCTGACTCAAATCCTCTGTTTAAAAAATATGTCTTATTTTCAAAAAAATGAAGGAAAAAAAATCAAGAAAAAAAATGGTAAAGATAACATTGTTGCTGAAATATTCTGAATATTCATTCTGAAACTGCAAAGGCTAAGACTCCCCTCTAGTGGTCACCCCTATAAACTATTTGTGAAACAAAGAGCATCTTCTCACCTTAAAGACTAACCAATTTTACTATTACATAGGCTTTTATGTGACAAAAGATGGGTTAATACTTAAGGTGCCATGAGACTCTTCCTTTTTGATTTTAATGTCTTACTTCAAAAGGCTAACACACACACATATATATAAATTGAAATGCTTACAATTATTAAATAGTTCCAGTTAAAATTTTTGTTATGAACATACACATCCATCCCACTATTCCCTTTTGGGAGGAGGATGGGGAGGAGGAGACAAAAAAATTAAAAGTGGATGATTAAAACAAAATCTAAATCGAGTTTACAAAAAACGCTATTCACTATACCTTTCTATCTTTTCAAATCACCCTTGTTTCCGCCCCACTTATATACAGCTTCATTTATTGCCTTTTGTTATTTAAATTTTTCACCTCTCTCTTGATCTTGCAGGATCTTATCAACTCCATCCAGTATGCATTTCTTGATCTTCTTTCCCTCCCTCTCAGCTCATCCAATCCACCTTCATTAAACATGCAAAAACTGCATAAATAAGATAAAAACCAACAGAAAATCTAGTTTAAATCAACAAAGCAACATTTTTTTAAATGAGCATTTTGTAATTTTTATAATTCTACTAAATTATATGCTATCTCAGCAATCTAGATGACACCAGTTCATATCTTTTGACCTATACTTTATTTTAGCCTATTCGTCCATAATTAAACCTACACTTTCATTTCCCTGACTGTATTAGCCAATTCCATTCCCAAGTTCAGCTCACCTTCAGTCGACCTATACTTCCTTTCCATGTCTTAGTTTCACAAATACACAACATGAGAAAATAAACATAAAATGAATAATAAGAAAATAAGAAAACATCTTATAAAAGTTTGTTCTATATCTTTTAACAATTAGTATTTTAACCTGAAAGATACTTTCCAAATCCTGAACTATTACATGTTGCCTATAATTCCAAAATTGTTATTTCAGCCTAAATGAAAGACATCTCCAGGTGTTTATTTTATTTTATTTCCACATCACATTTATATAGCCACCCATTTCACAAAGCAACTCTGTTAAACATATGTAAAAGGTGCATTTCCCTTAACTTACTGGATTGGGTGGTTCTGCAGAGAGGTGCCTAATGGGAGACGATTGCTGAGAAGCAAAAGGTGATTTGATCATTTGTGACTGGACTGCTCCATTTGTTTGGGGGTAAAAAAAAGAAAAAGATGCAAGAGCATCCTTTTCATCATCAGAAGCAGGATCAAGAGCAGTCTGTTCAGGACTAAGGCTGCAAATAATGGAATTGCATCTAAGTAGTCGCTCTCTAAAAAAAACAAATTCTTAAGGAGAGCCCCAAATTCAATGGCATTAACTGCATATAAAATTTGTTAAAATGATAATCTCCTGCCACTCATTTACATGTAAGAATCAAAGGCTTATGGGAAGCAAGGGTCCTGATTTGCAAGTTACATACATGTACACTAATGATGGTGTTTCCTTTTGGAGTAATCAAGGTTATATAGAGGGAAAAAAGAACAAGAAATAAGAGAAATCTAAATAAAAGAAGTATAAAAAAGAAAATGAAATATAAATAAATAATTTATATTAACATCATCCACTGTACCTCTTGGTATCTTTTTATCCTTCCAAATCATTCTTGCTCTCACCATATCCATGCTGTATGCCAGTTGGTATGGA